ATTTGCTGTAAGGACCAGCTGCGACTACAGTGGGAGAGTTGCTGTGTAGGAAATACCCCTATGGAGCAGGACTTACTTCAGTGGGGCTTTGGTGCTCACTGAGTCTGCCTCTTGAGTGTGTTGCTTGTGGATGTGTAGAGTTGTAATCTGGTATGGTCTGACACTGACCACTGGGTACACTGGCTCTTGGGTCTCCAGGGAGGTGCAAAGTCAGCCACTTCCTGGGGCCACCCAGCAGAAGCTACAGAGAGATCTGCAGATTCCTCCTCTTTGTATCAGGGTTGGAAGTCCCCAGATGAGGCCCAGCTGTGAAGCAAGGCAGGCTGGTGCTAGTGCCAGGTCTTGGGCCTTTTATTGATAAGTTTGGGGCTCCCTGACCCAGCTGCAGCTTGTTTGAGAGATTTTAGCCTGAGCAAGGACAGGCCATTCATATGCAAAAGCCACTGCATACAGGTTGGGTGGGGTTGTAAATTGGATGAGGCAGGGTCTTAGGGAATCACCACGGTGGAGCAAACAGAAATAGCTGCCAGTCAGCCCTGCCTGGGGGGTTCCAGCATAGGAACAGTGATCCCTGCTAGCACCTCCGTCTGGGAGAAAGCTACCCCCAAGTTCCTGCCCCGATACCAGACAATCCAGTTCCTTGTCATATGTGTCTGTTTCCCCCAGAGCCTCGCCCTGGTGCTGGAGCTCAGAGGAAGCGGGACCTTGTAAGTTCAGTTGGTGGTGCCAGCCTTTTAAGAGGAACAGCTGGGTCTCCAGCAGCCTGTGTGTCACTGAGCCCCAATCCACACTGGTTTTATAGCCTGTAGGGACTTCTTTTCCCAGCTCTGGTACCCTGGCCTGGGGGTCTGGTGTGGGGCTGGGACTCCTTGCTCCTCCCGGTGGCCTTTGCAGAGACGCTCTCCCTCCTGATTAAAAATGCGGCCCACGTGGGTGTCAGACCAACCCAATCCACACCTCCGCATCTCCTACCAGTCTCAGTGTGTTTTCTTCTTTACTTCTCTAGTTGTAGGACTTCCATTCAGCCAGCTTTCCAGCGGTTCTGGATGATGGTTGTTCTGTATTTCAGTTGTAATTTTGATGGTTGTGGGAGGCAGCTAGTACAGGCGTTTACCATCGCCGCCATCTTCTATGCCAATGGTTCTCAACCTGTGGGTCTCGACCCCTTTGGCGGTCGAACGACCCTTTCACAGGGGTTGCCTAAGAGCATCCTGCATATCAGATATTTACATTACGATTCATAACAGTAGCAACATTACAGTTATGAAGTAGCAACGAAAATAATGTTATGGTTGGGTCACAACATGAGGAACTGTATTTAAAGGGCCAGAAGGTTGAGAACCACTGTTCTATGCCTTCCCTTTTGTTTTCTTTTGTGGGGTTTTTTTCTGTTTGTTTTTTCTTTTGTGCCTTTCTTTTAAAAAAAATATTTTTTATTGGTTTTTAGAGAGAGAGAGGGAGGGAGAGGGAGAGAGAAAGACATCGATTGGCTGCCTCCTGCGCAGCCCCTGGAACCCACAACCTGGGTATCTGCCCTGAATGGGAATCAAACCAGCAACCCTCCATGCACAGGATGACGCCCAACCAACAGATCCAGCCGTGCCTTTAGGGCTGAAAGGAGTTGCTTCTCTGGGTGGGTTTGGGGTTTATTTTGTCAGATTTTTCAAATATCGTTCTCACATTTTTCTTGCTTTCTGATATTTTTTGTGGTCAGCCCTGAGGAAAGGAATTTTTCTTTTGTGGCTGAGACTTTATTGCTTGTGTTGAGGCTCGGTGCCCAGGCGTTGGAATTGTGCACAGTGCTTACCATGGGGCGGGCCGACAACCTAAGAAGCCACGTGGCCGGGATTGTTCTCTGAGGAGTTATTCCCGCACTTCCCGGGGGACAGGTGGAGGGAAGCATGTTGCGCAGTGCAGGGTGGGACGTGCCCATGGCTCCCCAGGTTGCTGAGCTGTTAGCCCGGGTCCCGCTCCCTCACAGGTTAATATCATGAGATGACATGCCCCAATTTCTTTTTCACGGCTAACGTGCCTTGAAATTAATATGTGACATTATTACGGAAATTGGACTATTGTGCCCAGGGACAGAGAAAGGCAAGATCAAGGAGGGCTTTTCGTTAGGAAGAGTACTGAAAAGCAACAGAGATAGAGGTAATTTTATTTGTAATTTTTATTTCTTTAAACATTTTTTATCGCCTGGCCAGCATGGCTCAGTGGTTGAGTGCCCACCTATGAACCAATAGGTCATAGTTCTATTCCTAAGAGTGGAAGAGGAAGAGAGAGAGAGAGAGACAGAGAGAGAGAGACAGACAGACTTCGATGGTTGTTTCCCGCCCGCAACCCAATTGGGGCCGGGGATCAAACCTGCAACCCAGGCACATGCCCTTGACCAGGAATCAAGCCCACGACCCTTCGGTGCAATGGCCAACACTCTGACCACTGAGCCACACTGGCCAGGGCAATTTATTTTGTAAAATTTATATTTATTGTTGAGAGTATCACAGATGACCCCCATTTCCCCCCACTGCCCCCCCCACAGTTCCCACCCCAAGAGCCTGTGTTTTAATGAGTACCCGGGAGATTCATCTGCGCATTACAGTCTGAGACTTGCTGGTCCCCCAGCCTGCAGGTGCCTCCCGGGGAGGAGCTGCCTCTCAAGACACCGCCCCCTCCCAGCCCCTGCACTCCTGGCCGGCCCCTCCCCCACCAGACCTCTAAATGCTGGGGGCTGGGGTGCGCTCCTTGGTGGTCACCTGCCTGTGGGTCTGTCTTCTCTGTAGGTGGCCTCCTTCAGTCTCCCCCCCTCCAGGGTTTCAGTCCCTCTGCTGGAGTCACTCCATGTGGGGTCATCTTTCCCTGGGCACCCTCTTTTTAAAAAATATTTTAATGATTTCAGAGAAGAAGGGAGAGGGAGAGGAGAGAGATAGAAACATGACTGATGAGAGAGAATTGGATGCCTCCTGCAGGCCCCCTGCTGGGGATGGTGGGCATGTGCCCTTGACCGCAATTGAACCCGGGACCCTTCAGTCCGCAGCCCAATGCTCTATCCACTGAGCCAAACCAGCTGGGGCTCCCTGTGCACCCTCTTCCCACAGCCAGCTGCCCACTGGGCCCTTCCCCTGTGCAGCCCCCTGGCCTCTCACACAGGCATGTCAGACCTTGAACCTCCACCACGTGGAGCCGGCACCTCCGCTATTACCTGTGGCTGAGGTGTAATCTGGGGCGGGTGGAAACTTGTTTACCGTCCGTCTGTCATTACGTCGGGATAAAATCGTCTAGACGTTCGAAACCAGTTGTTCCCGGAATGAATTGCTTCATAGGTTTGCCATGAGTGGTCTTTAGTTTTGTTTACGGTGTTGACGTGCAATGAATTATTGCTTTATTAACCCAAGAGTTCAGCTGTCCTCGGATCGAGGTGGAGGTTTGGGGAAAAGGTGGGGTTTCCGAAGTGAGGCGTCGTCAGTGGCTTCGTTCCCACTCGCGACCTCCCCAAGGGGGCGCCGCCTGCTCAGCCGCCTGCGCGGACTTGAAGGAATTCTCGGGTTCACCGAGGTGTACAGTGGGGGGGGAGGGCAGCGAGCTTTCAAATTGTACACTTGTCTACGTGTGACCGTTAATTTGTTCACGCGCTTTCTTAAGTAGTTTGTGAAGAGAAGGGCTTTTTGGTACGAAATAGGGGTTGGCCAACTTTTTTTGTAATGAGCCAAGTAGTAACTATTTCTGGCTTTGTGGCCAGGCTTGTTAGTTCTGCCCCGTGGCAGCATGTAAACCAACGGTGCGGTCGTGTTCCCATACAATTTCACTTACATCCCTCCTCTCCCCGGCTGGATTGGGCTCATGGGCCACAAGGTGACAGGTCTAGAACGCAGGCTGGGCTCATTGACACTGAATTGGGTCATTACTACGAAGGGAAAACTGGGTTAAGGATTTAAAGATCAAGATTTCTCAGGGTGACGGCTGGTGTGGCTCAGTGGTTGAGCGAAGACCAGTGAACCAGCAGGTCACAGTTCGATTCCCGGTCAGGGCACATGCCTGGGTTGTGGGCCGGATCCACAGTGTGCGGGAGGCAGGAGGCAGCCGATCCATGATTCTCTTTCATCATTGATGTTTCTCTCTCTCTCTCCCTCTCTGAAACCAATAAAATATATGTGTTGGGCACTGAGTTGTGACTACGTTAAAATACACAGCCTGGTATAATCATCTAATTTGGGCTATAATCAAAGAAACCAGGCACTGTGAGGCCGCAAGGATGGGGAGCAGTTGGGACCTGCGTGCGCTGATGTGCCGTGGAAAATGCCGCAGCTGCTTTAGACAGCAGTCTGGCAGACCCTGCCTGGGTAGCTCAGGTGAACCTGATACACCAAGGTTGCGGGTTCGAACCCCGGTCAGGGCACATACAAGAATCAACTAATGAATGTGTAAACAAGTGGAACAAGTTGATGTTCCTCTCTCTCTCAAATCAATCAATACAATAGATAGATAGATAGATAGATAGATAGATAAAAGAAAGCAGTCTGGCAGTCCCTCAAATGCTCACCGTAATTTCCATAGAGCCCAGCACTTCCACTCCTAGCTGTGTACCGAAGGGAAGGGAAGACACATATACAGAAGCTTGGACACGGTGTTCCTAGCAGCATACAGCCCACATAAAAAAAACAGCTTGCCTGGTCGGTGTGGCCCAGCTGGTTGACCATTGTCCCATGTACCAGGAGGTCACGGTCTTCAATTCTCGGTCAAGGGCACATACCTGGGTTTCAGGTTCAATCCCTGGCCCAGGTTGGGGCACCTGCAGGAGGCAGCAATTGATGTGAGAATCAATGTTTCTCTCTCCCTCTCCTTCTCCCTCCTCCCTCCCTCCCTCCCTCCCACTTTCTCTAAAAATCAATGGAAAATTACCCTCAGGTGAGGACTAACAACAACAAAAAAGATGAGTCACTGTTCTTGGTTGTGTGTGTTCCTGAGCGTTCCACGCCCGCATCCAGCAGAGGCGGCCCGCATGGAAGCAGGGCGGCCTCAGGGCCCAGATGGCCGCTTTCCCCCCTCGGTAGTGTGGAGGCCGGTCCTCGGGCCTGCGGGCGGGCAGCCCAGGTCACGGCTGTGCTCCTGGCCGCATTCTGGGCACTGGTTTGCTCATGCGGGAGGCTCACTGGATGGCTTCTTCGTTGCAGGTTGAAGAAGGAAGCAAAGCTGCAGCGGTGGACAAGTTACTGGCAGGAGACGAGATCGTGGGCATCAATGACATCGGCCTCTCGGGGTTCAGACAGGAAGCGATTTGCCTGGTGAAGGGGTCCCATAAGACCCTGAAGCTGGTGGTAAAAAGGTAAGACCCGGACCTCATGTTGTGTTAACCAAGATACACGGAATGGAGTAGAACAGCAAGCTGTGACGCCTGACTTAAATTGTGTATGTGTGCGCGCGCGTGTGTGCGTGCGTGCGTGTGTGCGTGTGTGTGTGTGTGTGTGTGCGTGCGCACACGTGTGCATATAGGATTGTTATCTCTTGGCCAAGGATGAATTAAGCATCACAAATGTTGAAAGATCCCTTTTATGACTACTGACTGTTTATTTTGATTTATTAAGTGAATTTGAATAGTCGTGTCTCTTTGGCAATGTGTAGATTATTTTTTTGGCAGCGAAAAAAAACTCTGCTTTTGTTCCAAATGAGCAGTGTGGTTGCCTGCTGCTTACACAAGGCGGCAGGCTGCTGGGCTTTGCGCTGAAGATAGTGTGGCTGCAGGTAGACTTAGCCGAGCGATGGTGATGATGGTAACGGAAGCTTGACCCTCCGAGGTAAGACTGGTTAGAAACCATCTCTGGGCTCATTGCCCAGCTCCAGTGTGACTGGGGGCCCCTCCACTTCTCTCTCCCATATTGTCTCTGTGGTGGGGCTGCCAGAGCCCCCTACACACGGAGCCAGCTCGTTGGCTTACTGCGGGGACCTGCCAGCTTGGTGCAGGCGAATTCTGGGCTGCTTCCTATAGTGCTCGGTGCACAAGGGCACGTGCAGGACTTGGGCTGATGGAGTGAAATTGCTTTGAACTGCACCTGGGTGTGTGTCGCTGGGGGATCTGATGTGTGTCACTGGGACACTGCCTCCAGGGTGCTCATTCATAAAACCTGTGAGTGTGACCCTGGCCAGCCCACAGGCAGCAGCAAATCAAATGGACACTCGTTGTGGGACAAAATCAGGAGGCAAGAATATTGTCGCCATGGCATCTAACAAGGTAAAATAAAATATCGGTCAATGTCAGGTCGTATTCCAGGGTTCAAAAAACAGATGTACAATAGCAAAGTTGGTTTAGAAGAAGCAGAGGCAAAGAGTGGAAAATTGGATGAAAGCACAGATTGGCGGTTCCTCAAGTGAGAAGCGTACGTAGGAAGCAGGCGTGTCAAAAGATGGTTAGGAATCCAAGTTTACTTAAAAGCCGGACACTAGGTTTTGTCTCTCAGGTTATCTAATAGAATAGCAGGGCCCCCTGGTGGTGAGATGTGGGCAAACAAGGGCTTGTTTGATAGGATGCTGATTAGATTACAAATTAGACAGCTTTCTTGGTGAGCAGCTTGGCAACACGTTTCAAAAAGCATATCTTGGGCCCTGACCGGTTTGGCTCAGTGGATAGACGATAGAGCGTCGGCCTGTGGACTGAAGGGTCCCGGGTTCGATTCCGGTCAAGGGCATGTACCTTGGTTGCGGGCACATCCCCAGTAGGGGGTGTGCAGGAGGCAGCTGATCGATGTTTCTCGCTCATCGATGTTTCTAACTCTCTATCCTTCTCCCTTCCTCTCTGTAAAAAATCAATTATATATATATATATATATATATATATATATATATATATATATGGCATATCTTGGAACCAGAATTTCATTTCTGGGGTCCTAGACATTCAGCAAAGGGAAATGACCCCTGCTGGCGAATGCTGGCATTACAAGTGTGTGCCCGCGTGCACTGACGTGGAAGGGTGCCCTGGAAGTCCAGGTGAGTGGAACACATACGTGTATTTATAGATACTTCCCATTTTTAAAAAAAGTTTTAAATTTCTAATTGTGGTAAAATAGACATAAATTTACCATCTTAACAATTTTTAAATCTGTTCAGCAACATATTCTATTTTTTAAAAATATTTTAAATTGAGTTTTAGAGAGAGAAGAAGAGGGAGAGAGAGAGAAACATGGATCGGCTGCCTCCGGCATGCCCCCTACTGGGGATCGAACCCAGAATGGAATCCGCAACCTTTCGGTGCAGGGGACAACACCTGACCAAGTGAGCCACACCGGCCAGGGCGTATTACTTTTATAACAGCAAAAAATATCGAGATCCTGCATTTAAACAATTGTTTTATTTTTAAAATTTTTTAATGTTTTATTGATTTTAGAGGTTGATGGTGGGGAGAGAGAGAGAGAGACAGAAATATCGATGTGAGAGAGATGGAACCAGCAACCTGGGTATGTACGGGTTGATGCTCCAACTAACTGAGCCATACCTGCCAGGGCGCAGCCCCTGCATTTTTAAAGAGGAGAGGCTTGCCCGGCCAGCGTTGGCTCAGTGGTTGAGTATCCACTTAGGAACCAGGAGGTCACGGTTCAATTCCTGGTCAGCGCACATGCCCAGGTTAGGGACTTGATCCCCAATAGGGGGCGTGCAGGAGGCAATGATTCTCTCTCATCATTGATATTTCTCTCTCTCTCCCTCTCCCTTCTTCTCTGAAATCAATAAAAATATATTTAAAAAAGAATGTTAAAAAAAAAAAAAGAAAGTGGAGAGGCCTTTGGGGTTGGGTGTGCCTGCGCTCCCAGGAGTCAGCAGGAGGCTGTCCCAGCAGCTGCCCATGTGGCATCTTTCTGTTTGGGGCAGTCCCCAGCCGGGTTTGTTTATTGCGAACAAACAAGAAGAATGACTCTTGGGGGGTGGATTGGCCTCCCGGCTACAATGGGCTCTTAGAGTAGCTCTTTACTCCTTGTAGTTTGTTTGGTTCTCTGTGAATGTGACAGGTGACAAATGGTTTTATTGTTTAAGTGGGCATTTCTGCCACTGTGAGTGAGGTCGGCAGAGTTCCAGAGCTTAGCAGCTCGTTTTTGAACTAGAGGAACGTATTAAGGATATAAAAACAGACCATCAAAAAAAATAAAAACAGATCATCTCGCCTGGCCAGCGCGGCTGTTGGTTGAGCGTTGTCGTGCGCACCAAAAGGCGGCTGGTTCGATTCCTGGTCAAGGGCACGTACTCCCTCCCTTCCTCTCTCTGAAAAGCAACGGGAGAAAAAATCCTCTTGTGAGGATTAACAAAAAAGAACAAGCGGCTACTTTATAAAAAGGCGCTGTGTCAATCATCCACAAACACGGCAACATAGATTCCCTTCCCCAAGAGTATGGCCAGATAATAAATGAGCCGACTCAAGCCTTGTTTATGAATCTGATGTAGCTACCTGCCCACCTGAGGAGCCCCGAGAAGGCGGCCTTTCTGATACAGACGGAAATCAGGTTAGGGTGCCAAGCGCTGAGCATGGCCAGGCCGGAAGTGTTTGTTCTGGGGAATGGGGTGTGTGCACCTCCATATAAAACATACCCCTGGTGCCCGGCCCGCGGGGCTCAGTGGTTGAGCGTCCGCCTATGAACCAGGAGGTTATGGTTCAATTCCCATCAAGGGCACATGCCCGGGTTGTGGGCTGGATCCCCAGTAGGGGGCGCGCAGGAGGCAGCTGATCCATGATGCTCTCTCATCATTGATATTTCTCTCTCTCTCCCTTCCTCTCTGAAATCAATAAAAAATATATTAAGAAAATAAATAGAAAATAAAACCTGCCCCTGGTTTGGTAAGTAGAACGGGAATGGTGGTCCGTGCACGGACCCCTCCCGCGGGGACAGCTGCTGTGTGCCCGACCTGCAGGTTGTTTGGTTTCAGGGGGCGTGGGGAGCGGGCACCGGCCCCAGGATAGGGTTGCGGAGGCCGGTGTTGCAAAGCCGCGGCGTCCTGTTTCACGGGCCTGGGCAGCGCCTATCTTGTCATCATGGAGAAGCCGGGCTGGGGGCGAAGCGAGGAGACACAGGATCGCTATCTGCCCCGCCAAGTGTCTTTCCCAGACGGGTGAGAATGGCACTTCCTTTCCCGAGCAGTGTCGCTGGGAACAAAGGACTGTAACCGGAGTCCCCGCCAAGCGCACATATGTTCTCCTTCGGGATGCCCAGGCGGTGCCCGGGCCAGTGGGGAGTGGTGGGGCTTCTGCCCAGCTGTCAATCAACCGCCAGGCCCGCGGGAGAGGCTGAGCAGCAAGCTTGCGCCTTGCCCTTCCTCCAGGCACTTGCTGTTCCCTCTGCTCCTCCTCGCAGGAACGTTCCGGGCGGATGTGGTAACCTTTTCCTTGTGTTTCTCTCGGGTTGTCACCTGCACTTGCACTGTTTTCCTGGGTGTCCAGGCCACACCCCGGAGATCCTGGTGGACACTTCTGGATCGGCCCCAGGCCATTTTGCTGGTGGTGCTGCCGCTGGCTTAAGCAGATGTGCTTGGAAAGGGGTAGGACCAGAAACGGGGTCACCTGCGAGTTGTCCTGATGAGCGTGGCCAGGAGATAAGCCCCTCACAGGGGCGGGAGCGGCTCGCTGCGGCTAGGGCTGTCACTGTGCCCTGCGTGGACAGCGCTGGGGCAGTCTCCATTTTTCTCACTTCAGAGGCAAAGTACCATAAATTCAGCTCCCCAAAAGTACATATGCTTTTATTTTTTTATTTTTATTTTTATTTTTTTTTATATATTTTATTGATTTTTTTACAGAGAGGAAGGGAGAGAGATAGAGAGTTAGAAACATCGATGAGAGAGAAACATCGATCAGCCGCCTCCTGCACATCTCCTACAGGGGATGTGCCCGCAACCCAGGTACATGCCCTTGACCGGAATCGAACCTGGGACTTTTCAGTCCGCAGGCCGACGCTCTATCCACTGAGCCAAACCGGTTTCGGCTATGCTTTTATTTTTTATTTTATTTTATTTTTAATCCTCACCCGAGGATATTTTTCCATTACTTTTTAGAGAGAGTGAAAGAGAGAGGGAGAGACAGAGAGAAATATCGATGTAAAGAGAAACACATCGATTGGTTGCCTCCTGCACACCCTGACCAGGACCCAGGCTGGGGAGGAGCCTGCAACCGAGGTACATGCCCTTGACTGGAATCGAACCCCGGACCCTTTGGTCCACAGGCCGATGCTCTAAACACTGACCCAAACTGGCTAGGGCTCAAAAAGTACATACAATTTTAATCACCTTGGAAAACTTTCTTTTAAATATGCCATAAGTCATTTTCTAAAGCTTGTCAGTACTGTCCTAGTCCTT